AATATATATATATATATATATATATATATATATATATATATATATATATATATATATATATATATATATTGTATATGAGGTCACTCCTGTCATCATAACTGTAGTCCTTCAGTCCATAACAAGTGAGAGTTGTTTCTATTTACCTTATTTTACATTTATTTATCATAGCTTTAGATCTCAACCTCTGAAGGATTTCATAAATTCTACCTTGACTGAAGACATCAGTGTCATCCCACTTGGACGATTCCAGTCCGGACGATCATCTTTTCTCTGCCGTTTTAGCCTTCCCATCTGGACGATTCCCAAAAGAAAGATTCCCACATGCACGATTTTATTTAAAATCGTCCATAATCACAAAATCTATTAGAAATACTTTATTTATTATAGTAATATATGATGAAATATATTAAGATCAGTGAATTGTAGCCAAAAAATATGAATTATATTAGAATTAACAAAGGAAGGTTATTATTTTAATTGTTATAAACAGTTATTAATTTAATAATTAAATGTTATTCATTTGTATCCAAATATTTCATGTTATACCTGTAATCGTATTCATATTCATGAAGAAATTATGTATTTGTACATCCTGTCAGTAAGTCAAGTTGATAAGCCTATTTATTATTCACGTGACCTGTGGTCATGAGTTTGGGAGGACAGAGTAAGAAATCTTTATAATAAAACATTCCTAATATAATATTAGTTGTATTATGTTATTACTCGTATAATTCATATTTTATCCCCATACCGGAAGTCCATAATATATTCACATAATAAACGCAGTATTTCTAATAGAATTTCTGATGTAGGGACGATTTTTTGCTATAATCGTCCATGTGGGACTCGTTCAGGTGAGAAGCAATCGTTTATCTGGAATCGTCTTAGTGGCATGTAATCGAAGCCATCTTGGGGACGCCTTCTCCTGTCTTATTACTGTATAGTATCTTTTCATTTCTTCAGACTTCGAAATATGGTATTCTGAAAGAGCTGGCAGACATAGAGATGCAAGGACGCGTCAAGCGTAGGAATTTTCCAGAATTTTACAGCAACACCGACACGTTGGTGAGGCGCGGCGACCACGTTATCATGGTTTACGAAATTATCATGTACATACTACTGGGAAAACAGTTATCTAATACAGGTTCTCGCCTTTATTAACATCTTATTGGACAGATATGCAATTGTGCATGTTGGTTGTGAACTTAACATTAAATTTGTTTATACGTAAACTACTTAATAATCGTATATAGACATTGCATATAAACAAACAAGCCTAAATTACTTTATTCCACAGGACGGTGCGACTTCTATAAGCTCAGAGACAATATGATGCCCAGGATGAATAGCATGATAGTTCCCAAGGACAGTCCTCTTCTGTACGCGTTAAGTAAAAGGTAGAGTATTTGCTCGAGGGAATCATCGAATTGGGATAAGTAAGTGTGTATGTAAGTAAATATGAACAAAATGGTACAATTATTTTCAGAGAATACTAATATTTGATGTTTTTTTCTACAGGGTAATGGCACTTACTGAGAGTGGGCTATATAACTTCTGGTTGAAGTCATCCATCCCAAACTATTCGTTTTGTCTGAATCCTCCGGCAAAAATATCTATCAGTAGCTCAATCGCTATATCCAACATATGGGTATGACCTTCTTGTTCTGATAATTGAATAAATGAACCTTAAGTTGAGTTACCTAAACATAATGTTAGTAGCAATATATGATATCATAATTAAAGTACAATGTTTCAACACCTACAGCATGGTCACGTTTCTTGCTCTCACCCATAAAGATGTTTCTGTCTTGTCGCCCCTCATCCGTCTCAACCTGATTTCTCCTTGATATACAGTATATAAATACTTTAAAACACAAACCTACTATAGGAGGAAAAAAAGAAAAAGAAAAGGAACGGCGTATGTTTCCACCGCTCACTACGGCTCTTCTCAGACTGAAACACAAAGTTACAAAAAGAGAGGAGCGAGTCAGGTCACAAGTCCAGGTGGCTGACCTCGACTGACATCAGGTTTCAAATACTCAGGTAACAATCAGCCTTTAGTTACTAGGAGATTAAATCAGGACACCACTGTCCCTTGTACATTATAAAATTAGGAAGTTTCTTTATCAAAGCAGAATCAGAAATTTTCCTGTTAAAACTATAGTACAATATGATTTATATACAATGGCAGAATTATTCCAGTGCATGGTATGGTCACAACCAAACAATGATTATTTACAGCTGAATTATCTTGTGGATATCTCATGGCACATTTATGCTTCTTTAGCCCTGTGAGTAGGTATCTACCAGTCTAATCCACATAGACCTTATCATATTCATTACAAGGTAATACGCAAACTCCTGGACTACATTCATGTCCTAAATTATGATGAACATTAACAATATTTTGTAAATGCTGATGGTTGTAAGTGGGAATTATGTTAATATGATCGTAAGGCAGCTTTTGCTGTTAGGGCACAAAATTATTTATTATAAGCAGAGTTAAAAAGTAAAGAAATAAATTTACTTATTCAAATAATTTTTGAGTTTATTTACTTTTCAAAAAGTACTCAAATTTTACAATACTTTACTTTAACTTAAGTATGGCTTTCTAAATCTTTTACTAAAATACAATATTGAAAACAAAAACAGAATTCTTACTCGTCATATGCCCCAAACAATAGCTTTAAATATTCAATCACAGAACATAAGACAAACTTGGAAGCTAAACAGTCAAAAACGTTTATTCACGACTGCTGCTTGTGAGCGTCTGTTTAGTCATGTTAGGCTTATATAAAGGCCTAACCGTAAGGGCTCCCTATTGGACAGCCATAATTTTGAGAATCAGATATTGATTAATTTCACTTTAAAGATTTGCACATAAACATGCGCTAAATCTTTTATTTTTATCTTGATTACTTTATTTCCTATATAATTTACTGTAGTTTATTTTGTATTTATGACAAATAATAATTTGTTGCTACTTTTAACTTTGAGTACTTGAGTACGTGAACTTTCGATACTTTTACTTGTTACTTGAGCAATATAGTATACATTTAATAATACTTTTGACCAATATAACAACGTTCGGTACTTTTACAACTCTGACTATAAGGTATTTTTAGTTGAGAAGAAGCCTAACAAAATTAGCTCTGGCCACACCCAGAGCCTTGTCCAAGCTGGGGTGGTCTGAAAATGGCAAAATGAAATTCAACACCAGCAAATTGACGTACCAATATTGGAAGAACAAATACTTATAATGTATACAGCCTTAACAACATCAACCTAGAGAAGTCGACTTGTGAAAGAGACCTAGGGGTTCTTGTAAGCCCGGACCTACGGCCTAGAAAACAGTGCGTTAATGTTCAAAATAAGGCAAACAGAGTATTGGGTTTTATATCTAGAAGTGTAAGTAACAAGAGTGCAGAGGTCTTATTGCAACTATATCTTGCGCTAGTTAGACCGCACCTCGATTATGCGGTTCAGTTCTGGTGCCCCTATTATAGAATGGATATAAATTCACTAGAGTCGGTGCAGCGAAGAATAACAAAAATGATTCCGGGACTTAGAAACCTTCCATATCAGGATAGGTTAAAGAAACTAAACTTGCATTCCCTAGAAAGACGAAGAGTGCGGGGAGATATGATAGAAGTATTTAAGTGGGTGAAAGGAATCAATAAAGGGATATAGATAAAGTTCTTATAATATCCGAGCAGGGATAGGACTCAGAACAACACGATTCAGTTGGATGATTGGTTTGGGAGAAATGCAGGAAAGCTGGTTTACAAAATAGGGTGGTGGACGAGTGGAACAAGCTTAGCAGCTTTGTAGTAGTTGCAGGGCTCTGGAAAGTTTCAAAGGAAGCTTCTGAATAGATTCGCTGGATGAAAAGTAGTAACTAACCTGGTAACAGCTCTTTTGACTCATAGCCTGCTGTTCTTATTCCTTGCATATTTTACGCTGCAATTCTCATTACTCAAATTTCCAATGTTGGGGGGATGCATATCCTTAATGTTCTCAAGAAAACGCCTGTACTAACACTTCTTTTTACTTTATCTGAATACTTACTGAAATAGTGTAAATAACTTCCTGAATAAGTGGGTTTTCTATACACTTGTGAGGTTAAAATTACCGTTGCCTCTGATTACTAAAATATCAAGAAAGGGAAGTTTACCTTCCACTTCCCATTCAACTTTATAAACAATGGTTGCCCCTCGTATAAAGAGGATTGCCGTCCCAAGGGCCACCTAGGCGTGAATTTGTTTAAGGTGTAGAAGCTGTCGCCAACGCAATAACGACACCCTAAGTTAACTAGAAGACCGGACAACTCACTAACCATTACCCAGGAACACGATCCGCAAATCGATTAACATCCAGGTCGCCAATTACTGCTGGGTAGATGGAGGCAAATGGTGTAAAGAAACTTGCCCACAGTTTCACCCTGCCTGGGGATCGAATCTGGATCCGCTCGCTTGCGAGGCGAGCATGTTGATTCTTATACCATTGGATGCTGGGAACGAAACTGTTTAACCTATTAAAGAAAAGGTCAAAAGATCCCAAGTGTCATCCCGTATAGTAAACACGACATCTACATAACTGTACCAGCACATATGTGAGGGTATAATTTATGGCAATAAGGAGCTCTCAAAATATTTCATATACAATGTGGCTACATCTATTTATTTATGTAAAATTCACGTACAAGATCAATAATTATAGATACAGAGATGTGAATATTGATGCTGACACAGTTCTCATTCCAAAAATTCCAAAACATCTTCTACAGGTACATTTGTGAAGAAGGATACAATCTTGACTTATCATTGACATTAAACATCCTTTAATTTGTCAGTACAATCTTGAACGTGTTTGTGATGAGAGGTAGAAAAACTACCTACATAAGGATAAAAAAAAACACTGAGCCCCTTTGCAAATTTGCTTATATAAGCGCCTCTCTTAGAAATAATAGGCCTAAGATGGACACCTTCTTTGTGTATCTTGGGAAGACCAGAGAATTAAAAAAGCTTGGAATTAATAACCCTAAATATTTAATTTAACTCCGGCTTAACAGAGGTGATGCAACAGTTTATGGACAAAATACTCTCTCATGAATAATGTGGTGTTTTACAAACAATAGAAAAAAATGCTTTGTCTTGGACGTAATTTTACATTAAATCTACATGCAAATAATGTATTAGACTACATAGCCGGTTTTGATCGATTAATAGCGGCCAATGATTATGACAAAGATTTATTGTGCATCTTAGGAATGTTTACATGTGCATGGTAGTTCCTGTCGAGAGTTACTACCACTCTCTATCATCCATGAATCTATCTAGCCTCCTTTTAAATCTTTCCAGCATTCCAGCACTTACTACAGAGTTGCTAAGCTTGTTCCACTCATCTACCACCCTATTTGTGAGCCAATTCCATTATATCCCCCTCCTAAACCTAAACTTAACCAACTTAAATCCGTTGCTCCGAGTCCTATCCTGCTTGGACATTATAAGAACTTTATCTATATCTCCTTTGTTGCTTCCTTTCACCCACTTGAATACTTCTATCATATCTCCCCGCACTCTTCGTCTTTCTTGGGAATGCAAGTTCAGTTTCTTTAAACTATCTTGATATGGAAGGTTTCTATGTCCCGGAATCATTTTCGTCATTCTTCGCTGCACCGACTCCAGTGAATTGATATCCATTCTAAAATAAGGGCACCAGAACTAAACCACATAATCGAAGTGCGGCCTGACTAGCGCAAGATATAGTTGCAATATGACCTCCGCACTCTTATTACTTACACTTCTAGATATAAAACCTAATACTCTGTTTGTCTTATTTCGAACTTCAACGCACTGTTTTCTAGAACGTAGGTCCGGGCTTACAAGTACCCCTAAGTCTCTTTCATAAGTCGACTTCTCAGGTTGATGTTGTTCCCAGGCTTCATATACATTACATAAGTATTTGTTCTTCCAATAGTACGCTGCATTTAGCGGTGAATATCATTTGCCATTTCTCTGACCACTTCTACAGTTTCTTTAAATCCTCCTGTAGTGCATTTGCATCCTGCCCTGAATTAATCTGCCGCCCTATTTTGGTGTCATCCGCAAACTTGCTTATGTCACTGCTGATCCCAGTATCTAGATCGTTTATGTAGAGTATGAACAAGAGTGGGCCTAGTACTGACCCTTGGGGAACCCCACTGGTTACACGGCCCCACTCAGATTTAAAACCATCTACGCTGACCCTCTGCGTTCTATCGGTGAGCCATGATTTTATCCAATTTAAAACTTTCCCCTCGATACCATGAGCCTTAATTTTTCTCAGAAGCCTCTGATGCGGTACTCTGTCAAATGCTTTGCTTAAGTCTAAGTAAATAACATCGTAATTTTCGTCATTATCTACTACCTCGAAGACTTTCCTAAAAAACGTCAGCAGATTTGTTAGACAAGATTTTCCCTTTGTAAATCCATGTTGCGAGTCATAGATTAATTTGCTTTTCTCTAGATGCGATCGGATGCTATCTGCTATAATTGATTCAAGAAATTTCCCCACTACTGACGTCAAACTGATCGGCCGGTAATTTGACGCTGATGCTCTGTCTCCCTTTTTGAATATGGGTACCATTTGCCTGTTTCCACAAGTCTGGCACAACTCCGGTGTCTAATGATTTTATAAATAAATTTACAAAGAGTCCGCTAATCTGTTCCCAACACTCTTTC